AAGCAAAAATGCTTGTCATCCTGCAGGCCATGGGGCGAATCTGGACTAACTGGCCTTGAACATACAGAAACAACCGGTAAGAGACGTATGCTCTATTTGTCTCCTGTACAGATGCCGTTAAAGAAATGAAAGGTTGAAATGAAGGGCATGTTTATACCTGGTGGAAATCTCTAGATTTATGTGCATTAGCAATGGCATATGATATTGAATTTCAGAATAAAAATACTTTGCTAAACAAAAGGATAACCCCAGGTTATTTTATTTTCTATTGTGAGCAGTAATTTTCTAAAATTTAACTTCCTGTTTGATAAATGGAGACATAATAAAATGCTTTGTCCATATTTTCAGTTAAGAATAAGCCAAATAAAACAAAATGTAATTCAATGACGCAGGGTGATTTTCACATTTTCTTTCTTTTAATACTCTTTCTGAAATTATATTCAGCCTCTGCATTTTCCTTCGGTTACCTGTGTTTTCTCTTTTTCACTTTGATGATGTGTTGCTATCAGCCTCCTCTAGCAGAGGGAGGGGCAAGTGTCAACTGGGCTGTGCCCCCAGGGGCTGAGGGCCTCCTGATTGAGAAGGTTGGCTTCCTCATTGGTGCCAAGCTCCAATGATAACCAAGGTCTCCGCCAAATGTGGGGGGAGGCGTGGTGGGGAGAGAAAAAGTAATGAGGTGATCTTCTATCTAACATATGTGAGAGTTAGAACAAACGTGTGTTAATGACTTCAAGTAGTTGAGAAATTGTCTTAACCTGAAGAAACAGCTTGTGGAGAACTAAAGAGAGCTGATCACAGGTCTCTGGCAGAAATTTCTCCTCTGGCCCATGAAAGGTACTACAGTAATAGCATTTGCAACATCCCAAGTTGGTTTGACTTCCTTCTCAGGAATTGCCAAAGTCAACCTGCTTCAGGGCAGCCTTCCTCATGGCCTCTGCGACAGAGACCTGGTCCCTCTGGTTCCCAGGTCTAGCAGTGTCTGGTACATGGGATATACTCCATAAATATGAGTGAGTGAGTAGTCTGACACCTAAGTGGGAGTTCTTATCTTCTGCACATCTTTTCTCAGCTATGATGAGTCTAAGTTTTGTACTGATGGCTGGATGAAGAAAGAGTCCCACACTCCCTAACCTGACTGCAAGTTCCTAAAGGCAAGAATTATGTAATGTTAGCATCTAACTGTGTGTTTTTTTATTATTATTTAACAAACACATTTTTTAGCAGGCATTCTTCCAAAAACTTAAAAAAAAATAGGTAATTCAATCATCATGACAACCCTGTGAAATAGGTACGGTTATCCTTGTTTTACAGAAGAGGAACAGAAGCTCAGAGACCTTAAGTCACTTGCCTAAAGTCACAGAGCTAAATGGTGCAGCAGGGATTTCAGCCACACGGGCTGGTTCCAAACACAGTGCTCCATATATGTACCTTACTATGCTGCCAGTGTTAGGGGAAATGATGGAGGAAAGAAAAAAATGTAGGATCTCAGGAGAAAACTGAGAAGAGAAGAATATTTATAAATAGATATCCAAATGAATAGTATATTTCCAAATACTTCATGCATAGTTAATACAGTACAAATGTTGACACTGTATGAAATAAAAATTTAGGCTGATTTGAATACCTAACTTAAAAGGATAATGATCCTTTACACCTGAAATAATATTGAATATAAACTGTAATTGAACAAAAAGAAAAAGCCCTGGCCAGTGTGGCTCTGTTGGTTGGAATGTCATCCCATACACCAAAAGACTGCAAGTTCAATTCCAGATCGGGGCACATACCTGGGTTGCGGGTTCAATGCCCAGTTGGAGCCTGTACAGAAGACAATATTTCTCTCTCTCCCTCTCCCCTCCTCTCTAAGAACATATTATTGGGTGAGGATTAAAATAAAAATAAATAAAAGGATTTTGCTCCTTTGTTTAAAAAATAAATAAAACCTTGTCAAGTTATAAGCACTTTCTTCCACCTACAAAAACATAAATTACATAAGTAAACAAAACCATCAAATTGTGAATCATTTGAAGTAATCAAAATCATGACCCTGACTTCCAGATTGAGTATTTTCTATACTCACTTAGTAGAAAATTAAACTCACAACTGGTTAAAAAGTTCAAAATTCTGCCCTGGCTGGGTGGCTCAGTTGGTTGGAGCGTCGTCCCATAAACCAAAAGGTTTTGGGTTTGATCCCTGGTAGGGGTGTGTAGGAAGGCAACCGATTTATGTTTCTCTCTCATGTGGATGTTTCTCTCTCTCTCCCTTCCTCTCTCTAAAACCAATAAAAACATATCCTTGTGTGAAGATTTTTTTAAAAAGTTCAAAGTTCAGTTATTCTGATAGGCATTTTAATTATTTTCTAGGGTTGCTGTACCAAAGTACCACAGAGTAGGCAGCTTTAATAACAGAAATGTATTGTCTCACAGTTGGGGAGGCCAGAAGTCCAAGATCAAGGTGTCAGCAGTGTGGGTTTCATCCGGAGCTGTGAGGGAGAATCTGTTCCAGGCCTCTCTCCTTGGCTTGTAGGTGTCTGGCTTCTACCTGTGTGCCTTCAGAACATCTTCCCTCTATGTGTGTCCGCCTCTCTGTCCAATTTCCCCTTCTTATAAGGACATCAGTCACACTGAATTAGAGCCCACCCTAATGGCCTCATTTTAACTTGATTTCCTATCAAAGGACCCTTTCTCCAAATGGTCACCTTCTGAAGTACTGGGGGTTAGGACTCCAACATACCCTTTTTTTTGGGGGGGGGGGCATGATTCAATCATAACAGCAGTATAAGTAGGGGTAAGGACCCAGGTCTGAATTCTAGCTCTGACATTTATGAATTCTGAGACCTCAGTTCCTCATTTTCCCCCTTAAATGAGGATAAAACAGATAGTACCTACCTCATGTAGTTGTGGGGATCAAATGAATTAGTACAGTGGGGCCTTGACTTACGAGTGTCCCGACTAACGATTTTTTTGAGATACCAGCTGTCTCTCGGCAGATTTTTTGCATTGAGTTGGTAGAGTAATTTGAGTTAACAAGCTCCTTAACGAGCTCGGTCTCGGAACGAATTAAACTCGTAAGTCAAGGCCCCACTATACATGTAACACTTAAAATACTGAGTAGTACAATATATATTATATATTCATTCATTTAACAAATGAATACCTATTAAGTGCTGGTCATTGTTCTAGGTGTTTGAGATTCCAAAGTAAACAAAATAGGCAACAATTCCTACCTTCATGGAGCTCATAAACTAGTGGGGAAAGAAAAACAGTTTAAAAAGTAGAACATATCAAATGTCAGCCAGTAGAAAAATAACCAAGAGTGTTTGTAACTTGGAATCACAGACGTGTCATTTGAACAGAGACTTGAAGAATGGGAGGAGACAGTTAAGTGGTGATCTGGAGCTTTTCAGATACGAGGTTTCCCCACCTCAGTACTATGACATTTGATGAATAATTCTTTGCGCGGGGGCTGTCCTGTGTATTGTTTAGCATCCCTGGCGACTACCCAGATGCTAGTAGTGGGTACCATCTACTACCCCAGTTGTGACCATCTGTCTGACATACAAAGATGTCTCAGACATTGCCACATGTCCTGCGGAGTGCAAAATCACTCTTGGTTGAGAAGCACTGAGCTAGAAATAAAGTGAAAGGGGGGGAGGGGGGGAGGGGTAGGGGCTCAGGCACAGCAGGGGGGCAGGCAGTAGGAGATGGAATGAATCACATCACCTATGACCTTGAGGCCACTCCTTAGGCAGATGAGAAGCCACTGGAGGGTTGAGGCCAAAAAGATAACACAATTTGACCCACATTTTTAAAAGATCCAACTGGCTGCCACATTGAGAACTGACTATGTGAAGAGACAGAAATGGACAGCTCGGGAGGGAGGCTGTCACAATAATCCCATTAATCTTTTCATTTGGTTTAATTTGTTCACTCATGTGGCTGGACGGTGGTGGGAGTGCTGAGAGACTTGAGCTAAGAAGCTCTGGGGAAGAAAAGAGGAAGGAGAGTTAGAAAAAGAAAAAGTTAGGCGTGGGCAAGATGTTTTGCAGAAGTGGAAGGCAGTAGAGTGACTCAGTCTGCCCGAAAGAGCAGCGGGGCTGTGCAGAACAGGGAAGGCTGGGGATCAGCTTGTGTGCAGGGCCGGAGGGTGCTAAGCGAAGGGTCGGCGCTCGAGTCTGTAATGCCTGGGGAGCAGTGAGGAAACCTCAGCAGCGGGCAGCTCCTCGGAGTCAGAAAGAACACTTTCAAAGGGAGTCTCCTGAAATAATATGGGTGACGGATAACAGGAGCCGAGGTTTAGGTGGAGCGCTTGAGCAAGACATTCCTAAGGAAGCAAAATAAGGTCCTGCCCCATTACCTTCTTGCCCTTTTGCTTGCAGGCTAGTGCAGTCTATTGTCTCCGCTGAGGGGTCTGGGAAATTTTCCACGATTTCAAACGTCAGGCCAAGGCCGGTCCGCCACGAAAAGGTTTAAGAAGTGCAGTACTTTCTCGGGAAACGTGTCCCCAGAGGAGGGTGTGTTACATTTCTTCTAGGGTCTTTTCAAAAACACTATTATCCGTAGGCGAGAAAAACTCTGGCAACGAAGAAAAAAGCGGGTCTGCAACCAGAGTTGTCCAGGACGGCCCTTCGCTTCCCGCTCAGGTTAAAGGGTCTCAGCGGGTCAGCCGGGCAGGTCCATCCGGTCAGCCCCCCGCCCCGCAGGCGGGAGCTGCGGGCGCCGGCCTCCGAGCCACGTGCCGTCCCCGCTGGTGCGGGTCGCGGAAGGAGCTCCCGAGGGCATCGGCCCCTGCACCCCCCAAAGACTCGGGCTGTTAACCGACGCGGGGCCGGGCCCCGCCAGGAGCGCCACTTGGCAGGGAGGCCGCCGCCGCCCAGGGCGTGGCGCAGCCGCGGAGCCAGCGGGGGGAGGGCGCGGGGGTGCGCGGCCGGGCGGGGCGAGGAGCGCTGGGGGCCGCGCCGACGCGCCCGCCCCGCCCCCGCGCCCTCCCCCCGCTGGCTCCGCCCGCCGCCCGCGCCGCAGCTAACCGCACAGGAGCAGCCCGGCGGCCGCACGACGGTCCCCGCCATGTCCGCGGCCATGAGACAGAGGTTCGACCGGTTCCTGCACGAGAAGAACTGTATGACCGACCTCCTGGCCAAGCTCGAGGCCAAGACCGGCGTGAACCGCAGCTTCATCGCGCTCGGTGGGTGCGGGGCCGCGCTGCCGGGATGTCGGCGCCGGCGCCGGGCCGGGAGCAGCTGTGCACCAGCTGCTGGGCAGCGACCGGGGAGGGGGTTCGGGCGGGCGATGTCGGTGAGCGATGGGGGCGAACCCGCCCGCCAGGCCAGGGGCCCGAGATCCCTCCTCCCGGGCGGCCCCGGCTGGGGGGCGCCGGCTGTGCCCGCGGCCAGGTGGCGGGGCGCCCGGGGCGCGGGCGAAGGGAAGGGCCGCGCTGACGTGTCCGTCCCCGGACGGTGCTCAGCTTCGGCGCGGAGTGGCGGGCGGGGCGGGGGGGGGGGGGCGGCGGTGGTCAGTGCCGGCCAGACCCTCCCAGGAGCTCCGCACCCCGAAGGCGTGTCCCGTCGGGAGGGGAGGCGGCTGCGGGTGGGCGCGGGAATCCGGGCCTCGCGGGACCCTCTGCGGGGCGGTGCTCCCCGGGCTGGTGTGCGACCGCGGGGCGGGGGGGGGGGACAGCAGGAGGGAGGGCGGGAGGGAGGGCACGAAGGTGGGGACGCGGGGGGCTTCCCGTTATCCCCAGACCCGAGGCAAAGCTCCGCGAAGGCGCAGGCCCAGTCGGTCTCCGCCTGGCTTGTTTTTCTCCAGCGCCGTACGCGGCCAAGACTTGCGTTTCGTTGTGTGTGTGTGTGTGTGTGTGTGTGTGTGTGTGTGTGTGTATGGGGGGGGGCGGTTTACGGGGGGCTGTGGGGCTTGAGTACCTCTCTGCCACTCAACCCACTTCTCTCCTCGCGAATCCAGGTGTCATCGGGCTGTTGGCCTTGTACCTGATGTTCGGCTATGGAGCCTCTCTCCTCTGCAACCTGATAGGATTCGGCTACCCAGCCTACGTCTCGTAAGTGACCCCCCTGCAGCCATCCTTCTCCCCTTCGGTCCCCTTCCCCCTCCAGGGCTGCCCTAGTTACTGGGTCCCCATTTTCCCTGAGAGCAGCCATAGCACCACAGGGTAGTCACTGACTGCTCAGGGTTACACATTTCAGAGCCTTAACTTGATGCTTGATCTCTTGATGACGAGCCGCAATGTTTATTTCATCAGATTATACTGGAGAGATGTGTACCTTGTGATGGGTGCACACGGAAAGTGTTACAACAGAGTCCTCTTGCCCTTGCTGGTGGGAGCTCTCAACCTGTGCTGGTTCCTTCTCCCCGATAATCATTTTAATGTGTGTTTCACCTTATATTCATGTGCATAGACAAAAAGCCCCATCAGTTAGGACTTCCTTGTTTCTGAATTAATGTTAATTCAGATACTGGGAGAATTTTCTCCTGATTTTAAAAAGGCTTGCCAAAAGAACCACATGGTTTTACTCATATGTGGGATGTGAAATAGAAAGCACAAACACACTCACAGACATGGACAACGGTATGGTGGCTACCACCGGGGAAGGGGTGAGGAGGAAGATGAAGATAAAGGGGGTCAGATATCTGATGAGGGGAGGAGACTAGACTTTGGGTGGTGAGCACACAGTGTAGTGTACAGATAATACACCCTGGAATTGTACACCGGAAACTTACAATATAATGTTATGAAACAGTGTTACCCCAATATATTTAATTTAAAAAAAATAAAAAATAAATAAAAGGGCTTGCCACTTATTTCGGGCAACTGGGAAACACCCTAATACTGGTATAAAAACAAACCTTATGAAATGTATCCTGAATATAGTGCCTTGGTTATATAAATAATTTATGCAATTAAACTAACTTACAAATGAATCTTATCAGATGAAGAGCTGAATTTATTATTTGTTTTTTTTTTTTAAATATATTTTATTGATTTTTTACAGAGAGGAAAGGAGAGAGATAGTTAGAAACATTGATCAGCTGCCTCCTGCACACCCCCCACTGGGGATGTGCCCGCAACCAAGGTACATGCCCTTGACCAGAATCGAACCTTGGACCTTTCAGTCCGCAGGCTGACGCTCTATCCACTGAGCCAAACCAGTCCCGGCAATTTGTTGAGGTTGTTTCTACTTTACAGTGTTTATTTTGAAATATTGTACAATTTCATTCTTCTATGCATTCCACTAGTAACTCTTCCTCACAAAAATGAATTTTGTTTTACTCTGCAGCTCTTCCCAAGAAAGCTGGTGGGTTTTACTTTCATTGAGTTGGTTTTTACAACTTTCCTCAACTACAGGGACAAAAATAGAGGAAGCTAGGAGGCTAAGGCACAGATAACACATTATTACACCTTTGTGTCTATCCTTGGAAGGGAGGAAACATGTCTTAGAAGTTTTGATTTGAACAATTAAATTGAAATTACGTAAGTAGTAGTTACTATGTTAATCTGGCAGGTGTAGTGGCGCTCCAGAAAGTCTAGCTACATATAGGACACTGCTTGCTTATGCATTTGGAGATCGCCAGTCTTCGGCTTGAGAAGAGCTTTATCCTCTCCAGCATTACCTGCTGCAGCACCACCTGGGTTTTATGGGAATACCAAAATATTCTGAAGGCAAAGCAGAAAAAACTAGTTTGGCTTTCAGATCAATGAAAGAGGTACAAGAATAGCAATTTTCCATTAACAGTATCTGCTGGCATATGGTGTATATAGCAAGTTTGTAGACAACCCTGATTCAGAATGGCTTGCATATCACTGTGCCTACGATAACAGTCAAAATCATCCAGTTGTACACTCTTTACTTTTTTTCCGTTTGTTTAGTCTACTTGCAGGAGCTCTTTTAAAAAGAAAGCTTTTAAAGCATTTTTTCAGGTTTGTGCTCTAGATTTTATCACATTTAGAACAAATTGGGTGTGGCCGCTTAGTACTGCCTCACTGTTTGAATTATATTGAGTTAGCAAAGCATCTGGATTTTCATAAATACTGAATAGCATGGGAAAAAATCCAACCCTTCCCCCCACATCAGTGCCATTTGGTACATAATGTTGTGTACCTCTCTGTTGTCTGATGAGATCATTGCTGGGGCTTTAGAAAGATAAAAGTCTCCGGTAGGTGGGACAGATAAGTAGATCTGTGGGTGTGTGAACGGGGGTGTGACTGAAGGCACCGACAGAATGTGAATGTGCTGCTTCTCTTTGACCTGGACAGGATTAATTCTAACCAGGGCCATTTTTTAAAGTAGTTTTTGTGTTTTGCTAAGAATTCTATGAAATGGTAGAGACAGTCATATTTCTGAGTAGATCAGGTAAGTGGGTTTTATATATTTTAGAATCATTCACCAAGTATATACATTTTGTTTTCTTTTCTACTTCAATATTCTGAGGCAAAATGACATTTGCCGTATATCTTTTTTTTTTTTTTTAATGTATTTTATTGATTTTTCAGAGAGGAAGAGAGAGGGATAGAGAGCCAGAAACATCGATGAGAGAGAAACATCGATCAGCTGCCTCCTGCACACCTACTGGGGATGTGCCCGCAACCAAGGTACATGCCCTTGGCCAGAATCGAACCCGGGACCCTTCAGTCCGCAGGCCGACACTCTATCCACTGAGCCAAACTGGTCAGGGCTGCCGTATATCTTAATAAGAGTTGGAAAGGTATTAAAAATCAAATAAAGGAAATTTAATGGTGTAAACAAAAATTCAGGAAATAATGAATATTTCTGGATTAGTGTTTATTCGTAGGATGCTTCCTTTTGGAAGACCCAACTCTTTTGCCATCAAGATAAATACAAGATTCTGTGACATGCGGGAATTGAGTAAAGGCTGTCCTCTGGGTACTTGGGCTTTTCCCTAAAACAGTGGTTCTCAGCCCTGACTGCCCATTGGAATTACCTGAGGAGCCTTAAAAAATACTGACGCCTGGTTTCCACTGCGGAGATTCTGATGTAATTGGTCTGCGGTGTGGCCTCAGTTCGGGGATTTTTAAAAATCCTCAGTCCTTTATAATTCTTAGGATTCTAATGTGCAGTCAGTGTTGAGAATCCCTGTTGAAAAGTGACAGCGGTAACCTGTGCTTGTTACTCTTGAAGATGGAGCGAATGGGGCAGGGGTGGAGGGAATGGCCTGCTGACCTTGGGAATAGCCCAGAAGTCCACCTGGCCTCTGCTTTGTGAGGGAGGTTCAAGGAGACCTGGAACTACGTGCACAGAATAAAACATATAGCCCCCCCCCCCCCCCCCCTCCAGCCAGTAAGCATTCAGGCAACCCGTGTTCCATTTGTCTACTCAAGTCTGTTCATAACTTAGCCCATGTGATTGTATCATTGCCAGAAAGAAAGCCCTTGAACGTGGTGGTATTAATAGCATCTAAATCAATGTTAACTTCATGTGTGGTCTGTGATCACTTTCACTTTAACTGTTCTCCTTGCCTCTTGTCATTTCCCCTGTGCACCCTAGCCAGATTTATAGTTAAAAATACTAGTTCATCTATTTAGCAAAAATCAAATGCCAGCCACGAGCCAGACACTGGAAGCACGTTAGATAGGCCAGGCACTAAGGTGGATTACTCTCCACCTTCTGTGAACGAACAGACTACCAGGAAAAAGTAATGTAGTGAGAGAGTGATTTTCTTTCCCCAAAGAAAATCAGCAGGGAGCCGTGGCAGAGAATAACAGGAAGGACTCCAGTATTTGTCTGAGATCCTATTTGAGTTAAGACCTGAGGAATGAGAAGGGGCTAGCCAAGCGCAGAGCCAGGCAGAGGCAGCAGCCTGTGCCAGGCCCCTGGGCAGCGGGCGCTCAGTAAGCTCTGTGAGAGGAAAGAGCAGTGAGGGAGGGCTGGAGAGGTGCAGGTGCTACCGGCCCGGCCAGCGGCTGGTACAGGAACTGTGGGTTTTATTCCAAGTTGTTGTAGGGGGTTTGCATGTTTTTTGGCAGCCTTGAGTGGGTTTTAAATAGGGTGTGAGATGACTGCTGTGACCTCTAGAAGGAGTTGATGATCCTGCCAAACTCTGTCTAGCCCTTCTTTTGTCACCTTTCAGCATTTGCTCCTGCTGTTTCCTCTCATTGGACCATCATGAAGTGTCCACAGGTTGTGCATAATGGTCAGCACTGGGCCTTGTGACTGTAGGGTGCAGAAATGACATTTGGAAAAGCTCATTTGGCTTCCTAGCTTTTCTTATGACTCACTGCCTTGGGAAATCTGTGGGTGGGCTCAGGTGCACCTGGCTCCCAGTCAGGGCGTGGCATGTTGGAGCAGGCACACAGCAGAAGGCTGGCCAGTGCTCCTGGAGGACAACCAGTGCCTTACCAGGTGCTCCCTTCCTCCAGGTGACCTTCGCTTTCTGTGGACATAATTTCAGTCTGTAATCGTCTATGTTTCCAGACTCTTTGGCCACCAGATGTTTCATGAATAGGCAACATGAAATCTAATTCCAGCAGCCTTGTTATCAAGAGCTGTTGACAGAATTACCTTAATCTCCTTACTTCCCTCTATTCCTGATAAGAGAAGGTAGACTACTAGATAATAATAGGAACCTCCATTATTAAGGGAGATTTACTCCCTCCTTTTGCTGAGCTATAATTCACATGAAAAGTTTTTAAAGTGAACAATTCAGTGGTTAGTATATTCATAGAATTTTGAAAGCATCACCACTATCTGATTCCAAAACATTTTCATCTCCCAAAAAGGAAACCCTACACCCATTAGCAGTCACTCCCCTTTTCTCCTACATCCCAGTCCCCAGAAACCACCATTTTACTAACTGTCTCTATGGATTTGCCTAATTCCGGACATCCTATATAATAAAAGGCTAATATGCAAATCGACCAAACGGTGGAACGACTGCTCGCTGTTGCGCACTGACCACCAGGGGGCAGACGCTCAATGCAGAAGCTGCCCCCTGGTGGTCAGTGCACTCCCACGGGGAGCACTGCTCAGCCACAAGCCTTGAGCCGGGCTCACAGTTGGCGAGCGCAGCGGCAGTGACAAGAGC